TATACTCTATAGTCAGTTTATTCTAGCATTCAGCTATCCTCACAGTTGTAAAACTTTTCCTTACAACAACTTAATCTTCCTTCCTGCAGATTAAGTTTGCTAGCTATCTACCTCTGCTCAGGGAGTACAGAAGAGTTACCTCTGAAACGCTGACATTTGTTATACTTGTTTATCTTGATGTAAGTCTGCATCTTGTAGGAACTTGCTGTTACACAGATATCTAAAAAACAGCAAATCTTGTCTGGTGTCTGTGAAAATGGAAGCATTTCCCCCTGATAAGAGACACCTTTCTGTAGGATGATTTTGAAAGGGATTGCTCCATTTCATGATGTTTTCAGGTTTTGAAACTTGGGAGAAAAATAAAATCTTCTGGAAAACTTTTTATAGCATGCAATTGTTAACGTATTTCTATATTTTTGCTGGAATAGACTGATTTTTGATGCCTAAGTTTTCCTGGCATGAAACAGGGGAAGAGAGTTAGTGGAAAGACACTAACTTCCCCTTGAAACCAGACCACCTATTATAACCAAAATATATGTTTCAAGTAAATTTTTTTTTTCAATTTCAACAAAGCAGCATTTTCCAGTTTAACATTACATATAAAAAATTCCAAATAGCTATACTACTCAGAAAATGTTTCACAAAATAACAAAACATTTTTCAGAATTCTGCACAAGAAGGAGTAAAATACCCTTGAGTTTTCAGTATAATTTTCTATAATCTACTATTATTCCCGACTGGACAGTTAAAGTGACTGCTGAGTCATTAACAGTAAACTAAGAAACATATTGATCCATAAGATGTTTTTTTGCCTGTGACTTAATTGCTTTTTGCAGCTTTAACATAGACTTACCTGAGACAGAAGTGCAAGTTAAAGTATGTGTCTCACTAATTCTCTTATTGGACTAGTATAATCAGCTTTTTAAATAATGTTTTGTGTAGTCAATTAGCAGATTATTAGCTATAATAGATAACATTCTTACTAAGTCCATATTAATTAGAGCTTAAACACAGCTTATCCAGGACCTACATTGAATTTATATTATTGTGTAAGCTGTATTCTTCCATAGGCAAATAATTTCCTTCATATGCCTTTTTAAGAAAAAGTGAATTCTAGCATCTGAGATATAAATATGCAAATTTTAAGAGATATTTGGAAATCACTTAAAATTTCTTTAAAGCTTGAGCATGCCAGGCCATATTAAAATTATAGCAGGATTATCAGCAGCAAAAGATACAAAAGGCTGAATACCTATTAAATTTATTAGAATAGAAGAAGTGATATTGCTAGCTGAGACAATCTCTGCAAGACTTTCATGGATTTATGTTACTGCTCTTCATTTGCCTTGTGTTAGACTCCAGTTCTGGAGTTCTCCAGCACCACGTCTAGTCAGAAAAAATAAACCCTGTTGAGTCTCAATGCCTACATTTTTATTGATCCACATGAATTCATTAGCTTTGAGACAAACATACTCTGAAATTAAGTAGGAATTCTATCTAAAAACAGATCAGGGGTTGGACTAGAGGATCTCCAGAGGTCCCTTCCAACCTCAACCATTCTGTGATTCTGTGATTTAAATTTATTTTTAGTTGCATGGGTTTATGGCCTCCTCATTATTTTGTTCAGCAGCTTTGCAATAACCAAAACTTTATATGTGTCTGGTATGTAGTTACCTGAAGGAATCCCTTAAGCAAATCCATATTAGATTTTTGAAGCAGAGGTGACTATGAAACTAAGCAAGCACTAATTTATAATCGTAGCAAGCTACATATATGCTTCAATGCAAGAGCAGGAAAATGTGCATTGCTTAGAGAGGCAATGAAATTAAAATGCCACCATCTTGGCTTCTGCCACCAATAGTAGCTTCATTGCTGTCAGTAGAAGCATTATACTGATAATAAGATGATATGACCACAATGTTCCATAATGTCACTGCTGAGAATTATTGCATAGCTGTATGCTAGAGGACAAGTAATTCTGATTGTGACTGAAATGAGGTTGAAGAAATAGGGACAATACGCGGATGAGTGCTCATTCCAGGAGTCATGAAAATAACTGGGGGCTCAATAGGTAGGTTGGCTCTGTAACTTTATATTCAGAGCTGATAACCTTTGGAATTCATACCCTTCCCTCCCTCCCATTTTTTCCTAAGGGCTAATCCACACTAGCTAAACTTTCACAAATCAGTTCTGCCTCAGCATTGCTTGAAGAAGTTCAAAAACTGAAAAGCTATTTTCGTATTTGCTCAGTCTGTTAATCATTCTTTTTTTTTTCCTTTTTTGAGGAGAAGGCGGGTAATGGAAGACTTTCAGACATTATGAGGCTTTTAAAAGTTAACCATACTCTTCTACATCTAAAACTATTTGTCAGCACTCTTTTCAAAAATCTCCCTTCCCCAATTTCTGCATCGTCATTTTCAGAACATATACTTTAATTTCACCAACAGAGGTCAGTAAACCACTGAAAGAGAACCATAAGAGTTTGGCAAGAACACACCCTGGTCAATCTTTCTAAAATCCTTCTGATTTTTATTTTTCAAATATGTTGTTTGATTGCTTCAGTAAATACAAGCTTAGTGCATGGAAAAAAAATGCAACAACATGATTATGCATGCAGGAAAAAAGAGTTGTATTACGGAGATGAATTACACTAGCTTATATTGTTAAATATCTTTCAGTATTGGAGTACATTTGAAATATGTGTTATGAAGCTAGTAGGATACGTACATAGGTATGATTATAGCTAAATCAATGTGTCAAGGTTAAAATAGACGGTGATTTAAAAGATAGAATCTTGAATGATATGCAGAAGTCTACTTATCATGCTTTGTGCTGTTGAGAAGCAACCCAGTATGGAGAGAATATAAAGAGGAGGATCCTTGAGAAGGAAAATGTAATGATGTTAAAATAATAACAGATAGAAGCACAGGAGAAACCAAGAGCTGTCACAGACGTGCTCACTTTGACAGTAACAGTCAGCTAATGGAACTATATTAACACATCATTTTCTAACTTTCAACTCTAATGAAAAGCTATTTTTACAAATCATTACTTTCAGCATACGGTGTTTCAGCCACGTGGCTTCTATTAGCGTGCAGGGGAGTTTCACAACTAAAGCTGCCTCTGCAGTACTGAAAGTATACCTTTTATGTTGAACTAATCCCAGAGGAGAGTCAGCACTAGCTCCCCTGTCCTTTTGACCTTTATCCTTTTAATGTATTTTGCCTGAGTAGCAAAAGGTGAAAACCTAGTTTTTCTATTGCAAAACAGAGCCCTTCAGCAGCATTTCTCTGCGAAGGCAAGAAAAGTAAAACATACTCCTGTGGAAAGTTTTGAGAGTCCCTAGTTGAGCAATTAACAATAGCTTTACAAACGTATTTTTAGAAGTGCTTTCCTAGTAGCCAGCCCTTTGAAGCTCACCCTCATGGTGGTGGGCCTCCCAAACACCACCCTCAACAGCTGTTAGTATGGGAAGCTACTGGAGTGGAAGATGTTAATTATCATCAGCTACTGGAATTTCTCTGGGGACTAATTGTGGTTAGAAACATGCTTCCCTAAAGAACTGCACTAGGCATTGGGACCATTTCTCCTATAACTTATCTGAGTCTCTTCTCTCAAGCAAAAGAATCACTTTTAAGCAATCTTCTCTTAGAATATGATGATGTGATTTCCCTAAGCAAATCTTAACTGCGAAATCTTTTATCTGTGCAAATATCATTCCAACAATAGGCATGTTTTTGTGTATGTGAGTTTCCAAGGACGAGAATTTATAATAGAGTTGGATTCAAAACCTGGGAGATATGTTTAAAAGTAAAAAGAGGCCTTTGGAGACTACAGAATAGAAAACAAACAAGTAGAGGGACACAACTGTTTTTTTCTCCTGACAAGATTAACTTGAACTTTCTTTTTATGCTCAAAAAACTGCTATATACCTTCCTCACATCTCATCAGAAAACTACACACAGAGAAATGGTCTTTCCCACTTCTGCTTTACCCCCTGCTATTTGGTGGCATTTTGAAGTCTAAACCTGTTAGCATTTGGAGATTGAATGTGATGTCAGCAAGATATTCCCTAGAGTGAACCAAAATAGCAGATGAGCTGGCAGAAAGATCCCCGGAAAGGGAAATAACATGAAAACAACAGATTTTAAGCCTAGCCCTTCACTGTTAGTACTACAAAGCACCTTTTATTACTGAACCTACGCTTAAATAAATCTTGTAGATCCCTCTGTGGCAGTTAATCCTAGTAACCATTACTACACCCAAATAAAGACCAAGTCAGGTCAGGTCAGTCTTTTCCTCCTGTGGAGGAAACTCAGGAATCTGCATGACCTTAGTTTGATAGGCTAGCATTAGATTCCCAATGCACTAAGGTGAATGCTGAGATATTCACTTTCCCCTCGCTATAGATGAGGACTATGTTTTCCCTAGTATTTTGTGAAATGACACGCCTATCTTTTCTGATAGTCTAAAGGAGCTGAAGGGAAACAGGCATCCAGCTCCCTGAGCATCCTGCCTGTTTTCCTGTAAGCAAACAGGAAATTCCCTTCTACATGCCAGGGGAAGGGGTAAGAGGGAGGAAGGAAATGGAATGTAATGGAAAGTAAACATACCAACTATGAAAACAGTAATCATGAGCAAGTACAAAAATGCTTCTTTGTTATACTTAAGGACAATGAGCATGGTGGTATTTCAATTATTTGGTGTTTACAGAGTTAAAAAAAATACTAGCTAATTCCCTTCTATATAGGCCATTAGTGCTGTTGTATTGTACACCTATTACAGTTTAACATCAAACATCATGATCAAGAGTAGGTATGGTCAAAATGAAGGATGGCTTAATTCTTCCAAAATGGTTACTGCTTAATAGCGTAGGACTATTAACTCTCTGGGTCAGCAGCTGCAGCCCTTTATAGTTAAAAAGCATAATAGAGTATATATGTTTCCCAACTTGGTAGGAAGAACAACAGTGAAGATAAGTAAGCACACAAACACGTAACTGTTATATACAAAAAAAGTTTAATTGAAATACCTGTATAAAAAATATGATCTCCATACATTTCACACTGTTAAACAGAAGAAAAAAATCCAAATCCAAGCTGCATAAATGCAACCAGATCACAGAAACACAGCTATTAAAATAAATTAAAGTTTATGACTCTGCCACTCTACCTTCCAGAGCCAATGCACGGAGACTGTACAATGTCAATAATTTAAAACCCTTCCAAACAGCATTACTTTACATTTCTGGTACAATACCAGACAAAAGGCATACTGACTAACTTTAAAAGTCATTCTATTTCCCTTAAATTAGACTTTGTACAACAATTTTCCATCTTCCAAAAAAAAATGATAAGGTCAGATTTTTTTTTTGTCGTCTTTTTTAAAAGAAAAGTTGACAGGAATGCAGAAAAAAAAGTGCCATGGGCAAACCACCAGAATTCCCATGGGGAAGAGGAGGGGAAAGCACAGTGTTGAATAACTCTAACCAAATAAATTAACCAAATAAATAGCCACAGCTGAAACCTGTGGGAGGTCTTCTAAACTTCAAACAATAAATAACTGTATAGTACATGGGGAAACCAAGTTTACATAAACACATTATACAGGTATGGAAAAAAAGTAAAGTCCTTGAATATTGCATTGATTGTGCATTCAACATGCCCATACGTACTTAAGACTCGCAGGGTGACAAAAGGCCAGGGGGAGTTGAGAAAGGGGCTTCTCATGCCCAGTGGTAGAGATGATAAAAGGAAACATGAATAAATGTTTCTGATAAAAAAAAAGCTGATATACCTGTTCATATTTCTGTGCAGGCTATAGGAAATATTTTGAGCAGCAGAGGTGGGTTGGATTTGGAAAGGGCAGCGGGGCAGGAGTGAAATGTCTGTGTTCAAGTATTCCATCACCAGTGGATGGGACTACTTCATTCAATCACCGAACATGTTCTCCAATGCATCATAGGAGCTGCTTCCTTCAGCACTGAGTCTAAAGGAAGTAAATTCCTATAATGAACTGGATCTTCTTTGGACATACACAGCTCAAAAAAGAAAGTCCCACTGAAGCAGCTTTCAAAAAGGCACTCAAAAGCAAATAAAATCTAGTCCAGGCTCTATGAGAGCAAAAAAGTTTACCATGTATTCAAGAGGTCACTGCTTTCTTAATAAGGTCAGTCTTGGACTAAGTACTGGCCTGCAACTCCCAAATATCAGCGTTTCCAAAGGAAATCTCTCATTCCAAAGCAGAAACCAGCAAAAGGGGAAAATAAAATCAAGTCCCTCAGACAAAGATTCAACTACAGAATAATGAATGCATTTTTCTAGCCCCTCCTACGTATTGGCAGCAGCACTGTGGTCTTTCTGCTTGTAGCTCCCCTCCCAGTGCGAGGTCCTTAGTAATTCACAGACTCTCATTACTTGAGCTTGTGCTAGATACATCAGTATCAAGGGTCCGTAGCCTTATGTCACAGTCCTCAGACTTCACTACTTCAGATTTGTGCATCCATTGATGGTCAAAAATTTGCTCGAGTGTTGGTCTGTCTGAAGGCCTCAGTGAAAGGCACCATTTGATCAGCTGCTGACATTCTGAAACAAACAAAAAAAACAATTTCAGACTAGGAAAGTAGACACAATCTTGAATAAAATAACCCACCAATAGCTCAAATGTACCCCCCCCCACACACACACACTACCACCACACACAAAACTCACCAGGTGAGATTCTCCTCCTGAAATATAACCGCCCCCTCAAA